GCGGTGGCGGTGCGGTCCGGGCGGTGGCGGATGGTGGCGGTGGCGTGTGGCGGTGGCGGTGCGGGCCGGGCGGCGGTGGCGGCGCGGGGCTCACCTTTGTCCGCGCGCCCCCCGCCCCGCGCGCCTGGTACTTTTCCACTCGGCGGCGGGCGGGGGCCGCGGGGCCACGTGACGGGCGCGCGCCCGCTGCGGCACTGACGTCGCCTCCCGCCCCCTCGGCAGGCGCGGCGAGTCCCGCCGGCAAGGACAAAAGAGCGGCCGCCGCCGAGCCCCGACCCCCGCCCCGCCAGCATGAGCAGCGCCGAGATGGGCAAGTTCAACATCTCGCCCGACGAGGACAGCAGCAGCTACAGCTCCAACAGCAACGACTTCAGCTACCCCTACCCCACGAAGCCGGCTGCCATGAAGAGGTGAGGGGGCTCCGCCGGCCCGCGGCGGGCGGCAGCAGCCGGGGACCCGGCGGGACAATCCCTGCGGAAACACGGGAGTTGCTGCGGCCGGGGACGGGCGCGGCGCTCCGCGCGCTGACACTGGCAGGTGGGGTGGTTCTTTCGGGGTTAATTCCATCGGTTTGTCCTTTTCCCTTTGAAATGCATCGGGAAGCGAAAATGCGTGTTGCCCGTAAGAGTCACTAATGATGCAATGTTGTTTTGCAGCCACTATGCGGATATTGATCCAGAAAACCAAAATTTTTTGCTCGACTCCAACCTTGGAAAGAAGAAATACGAAACTCAGTATGTAAGTACCCAGCAATGACGTTCTAAATAAACAAACAAAAACGTACTGCCAAATTTCTGGGTTTTTTTAGTTCTGAGATGAGTAGTAACTTTCTGTTAATTATTACCTATCTCCCTTTCCTCAGCATCCAGGTACTACTTCCTTCGGAATGTCAGTATTTAATCTGAGCAATGCTATTGTGGGTAGTGGCATCCTTGGTCTTTCTTTTGCCATGGCTAACACTGGAATTGCTCTTTTTGTGTAAGTATATTTTGATTCATCAAAAAAACCCTGTGTTTCTGGTGTGTAAGAATGTGACCCCTAGAAAATATCCAGACATTTCTATAGGTGCAGAATTGCATTTTAGGATTTATGGCTTGTTTTAAGTTTAAGGATTGTGATATATTCAGAAGAACCTGCAAAAATTAAACAGGTTCACTGCAAATTCTGCAACCCTCAGAAACATTTTACAGTGAGTTTTACTTGACTTAGCTGTAGTTTCTCCATGAATAACTGATAGAATTCCCCTGAAAGTTCTGTTATCCAAGTCCCAATCAGGGATGTGGTCTCGATTTCCTCAGCTGACATCGTTGTGCCTACTGAGTTACAATGTACTTAACCAATAAAGAAATCAGTTCTATTGCTACGCTTTCATTCAGTTCAGGGATATAGTTTCAGTTACACCTATAAAAATTTCTGTCTGCCTGCAAGGGAGGGATGTGGAATGACCAGCATATCTTTATTGGCCTGTCTACACTGGCAAAATCTTTGAGGTGTAGGACAGAACTACAGTAATGTAGTTGGAAGTGGCATAAGGATACAGTTATGTACAGTGCTTTTAAATGCCCTGGGAAAGAACATTTTTCAGGTATTGGAGGTAATTCAGCTCATGAGCAATGTAGTATCAGTGACTTGACTGCAAATGAGTATCCATGGATATGTTCAAAGGAACTTTGTGTTTTTATCCTGGAAATAGATCAATGTGCTGAATGTTCAAGAACACATGAAGAGCAATGTTTAGTTCAAAATTTCCCTGACTCTGCTGCCAGATTTCCAGAAAGTAGGTCAGATTTACTTCCAGATGTTTCACAGTGTATCGGGTGGTGCTCAAGTTTGCTGAGGAAACTACCAACGTGTAAAGTTCTGACCTAAAGGATTTTAAGTATATGGTGATTTGTAAATCTTATACTAAGATTTTCATTAGCCTAGATGGTGCTAAACTGAATGAAAGACTTAGCATAAATCTGGAAGAAATACTTAATTTCTCTATACATCAGTTTCATGCTCTAAAGATGTTCTGCAGCACATGAAATATAATCAGTGTAATACACATTAAAATGTCTCTGAGGAGAGGAAAAAGGAGAATGTAAGTTTTTATTTGAACAGATTTGGGGAGATCCTCTTTTCTGAGGAAGAAAAAGTTCAAAACTTTCAATTTAACAATTGGGTGCTGAGGCAATTTAGTTGCTTTTTATTCAGATCTATTTGCATTAGTGCTGTTTCAAAGACAAACTAGCTTGTTACCTTTTAAAACTTGTAGATCGTACAGTTGTGAGGCAGGAAAGCAGTTAATCACAGATGATACTGAGGATTTATGATGACTGAGGGCATTACAGGCATCCCTTAATAACTAGGTTACAGAATCAGATCCAGATGCAGTTGATTAAGGCAGTAAGTTCTTCGAAGACTATGGAGGCACTTGTGTAAGTGCTGTGACTTGTCACTTGTGTCAGCACTAAGTAAATGAATAGAACGGTCTGGAAGCCAGAAACAGAGTGAGCTTCAGAATGAGTTTGCTGACTGATCTTGCCTGCGCTGTAGACAGCCCCATTCCAGGTTAGGACTGAGAGGTGTCCATGGTCTGTGCTGTTTTAAAGCAGTGTAACCCTGGCACATCTCAGCTGTGCTGTTTCTGCCCAATGGCTGAGTCAAGTCCTAGTTGATCCCTACCTGTCAGAAATAGAGAGGTTTATTTGTGTGCATGCCTTAGTGTTGAATTGGCGCAGTAACATACATTTCCTACACAGATCTGTGAAGCTTCTCAGATCTTTTTGTTTCCAGTTCTTTGTGCTGCATTTATTAGCTTTGCCAACATTAAAAATGACAGATGAGGAAATGTAGTCTGGGAAATGAAGTTTGCCCTTTTAAAGCCATTTTTTATATGCTGATTCTCAGGTTTCCTATTGAGCAAAATGCTTGTATTGGTGTAAGAAAGACCAGGGATTTTTTTTTTTAATGCTTTGTAATTTTCCACTGTGTTCTTCAGCAGCCGAGAAGTCCCCCCTAGCGTGCCACTCCAGGAAGTGCATTTGTTGTGGGAGAGATTTGTTGTTGAGAGATCCGAATTTTAGGTGATGCAAATGTGCTTCTGGAAATAATATGCATTGCCTGTAAAAGCTGTGGGGAAGATAAACAAGCCACTAGCGATTCCCATGTAAGCACATCTGAAGAGTTAACTTTTGAGGAAAGAATTTTTTTTTTTAATGACAGTAGATGTATATTTCCATTTGAAAACACAGCTCTCAATGAGTCTGAATTTTCAGTCAATTCTTTAAGGCTTTTGCAGTTTCATCCTTACATAAAAAAAAAGGACATAACACAGGTTTAAGCTGAAAAGCTGATTTCTTTTATAAGACCAAGAGATAATCTTCACTTCAGCTGTAGTTAGCCTCAACTGTACATTCGATAGGTGCATGACACACTTGAACAGGGACATGGAGACAGGAAGAATATAGTTTTTTACAAGGATGCACCCATTCCCATTGATAATTTATTAAGTTATGTATTATCAAATGTAGCCAAGTATAATATCCTGACACTTGGTGATGCTTATGCCATTTTAGACTGAATAGAATCATTGTTAAAGCCTACATTAGAATTTCTTTGTATGCCTCTGAATTGCAATGTAGTATAAAATCCTTTCTACACATGGGATTAATTGGGTTTTCAGAACACTTTTAACTGACCTTAGAATGTACACTTTTTCCCATATAATATTTTAATATGGGGAATGTTTATATTTGATGCATCTTTATTTAATAGGGTTACAATAAGTTATTTATGGCTATTACAAATGTGCATGTTTTTCTTTCCCCAGAATACTCCTGCTGTTTGTCTCAATATTTTCTTTGTATTCAGTGCATCTTCTTTTGAAGACTGCCAATGAAGGAGGTATGGCAAATTACTGTTTTACAAATATGTAGTATTCGTTTCTTACGGTATCTTTGTGAAATACACCCTTCCAATGGGATATTGTATTTTCTTCTAGGATCCTTATTGTACGAACAGTTGGGAATGAAGGCTTTTGGTATGGCTGGAAAACTTGCTGCTTCTGGATCAATTACAATGCAGAACATTGGAGGTGAGGACAAGATCTTAAAATGTCTGTACTGTCAATAGTAATTGTTCCCTGCTTATTCTTGGAGACTTATTTGTCACACAACATGTGTTCATTAACTGCTTGTGTTCAAGTGAAGTTATGAAACATGTTATGTGATTCTTGCATCATGTGGCATATTCTATATTTGTAATGATCTATGATGTTATTCACCTACAGCTATGTCAAGCTACCTCTTCATAGTGAAATATGAGTTACCATTGGTCATCAAGACATTTATGAACATCGAAGAGACCACTGGGTAGGTGTTAGAACTCCTCATCAGAGAAACTATTAGGAGAAACAAATACGGAGACTGTATATATTTTTATATGAAGACCACGTTCGGTACACCATAGGGTAGCTTCTTATTCAGACAGAGATACAGTAAGTTTTCCCTTCCCCTGAGTGCTTCACTTCATTTAGATCCAGCCTGACCTGGGAAAAGGGTAGAAAAATACAGGTATTGCATCGTGTTGCAGAAAGCTGTTCTGTAAAGAACATCAGGTAAGTGTTAATGTATGTACCAGTCAGTACATACACTTGATAAGGAAAGATAAATGTGATTATGGTTGGTTTTTTTGTTTTGTTTCTTTTTACTTTCTTACTGCATTCAAAATGTTTGGTCTGATTAATTTGGTTTTCTAGTATTAATATTGTGGCAAGTGATTAAATGTAAGACTAAAGTGCAGTTATGCAAGGAATGTTGTAAGGAGCAGTTCTCAAAAGATACAGAGACTAAACATGGACCTAAACCACAGTTTATATGCCCAAGACTGGGGTGGTAGATGCCTTGCCATCTATTCCTGGAGACACCTTGGCTCCAGAGTGGCTTTCCTGCTTGGCTTTAAAAAGAGGATTCATTTTATCTAACCATATTTCGAGTTCATCATTACAATGGTCTTAGTACAATCAGTGGAGAACCGTGATCCTCTGTAGTGATCAGTTCGGTGCACCTTAGACACATTTTGGGCATCTCCAAAGAACAGTTGATCATATCACTCTGTGTTGAGAGGGTGTGTAAAAACAAGATGCCTGAGTTCAGATGGATAGAGTTAAGTGCTATAAATCTCACTCTTCAGAGTTGTACTTCTGTGCCTTGTCCTGAAGTGTCCCAGTCTTGAGAGGGCTGAGCAGCTCAAGACTCCAACTTACACCTAAGCCTGAGTTCAGAAGGTAGGCATTTTTCTGCCATGTTCCCCAAGGGGTTCAAGCAATTTGGTGATGTTCATACAGCTTGCTGATAGATATTGTCATAATAACAGTGCTAGCCATATATTTTTTCATTTTTTTTTCTTTTTTTTTTTTTTTTAATGTACTCAAATACTGCACCTACCCTATTTACTTACTAGTGTTATGTTTACAAATTCTTTGCTGGGAAGGTTCATTTCTCTCCTTTGGCTGAATTCAAGTCCATATTTTTCGATTCTTATGAGAGCCCCTGGAGTAGCCAGTATTTAGAAGGGGGCTCGGAGGCAAATATTTTTAACTGTCCCATCTTCACTAAAGGATTCAAAACTGGTTGCCATTCAAGAAGAAAAGTTAAAGTCTGTGAATCTCAGAGGATACAGCTGCTGCTCTGAAAATCTGGCAGAGAAAATTAAGAAATTGAGATCTGTATCTTAAATGTTTTCTTGTTGGCTGGCACTAGGTAGCTGTACACTGATTTAAAGTATTTTCTCAGTGCTCTGGCAATTGTGAACCCCATTTAACTGACTCTCTCCATGCATTGCTTAGGGGAGTCTGGGTGGCTACCATTGGCATGGATTCCACTCTGGAAGCCTGGGGCCTAAAATGTAAGCACTTACCTGTTTAAGTGTCCCAAAATAATGCTTACTGTAAAAGAACTTCTGGAATTCTGAGACAATATTACAAATGCTAGCTCCATTATTAAAATTTGCTTAGCAACTTCTAAAGTACTTGGCTATATTTTAAAACTGCACAATCCCATTCTTTACTCTTCAGGACAGAAAAACTTTGAAGTCCTTGATCTGAAAGTCCTGATGGCCTCTATATGGTATGCACAATAGCAGTGCATGTTCTTGTGATTGTATCAACTGCAAGGAGTTTCTTTGTTGTGATTTCTTTTAAATTTGCCACAAGTTTACTGTAATTTTTAAAAAGACAACAAAAGGTGTATGGTGTTAATGTCCTATACATCTGAAGTTTCTAAAATACTCCTTTTTTACATCTAGTTATCCCAGGTAATACTGAGGAAAGAAATGACTACACATTTTTGCATTTACTATGTAAATCCAGAGCAAGTCTGTTAATTATACCATATTTCCATTACTATATAAAAGACTATAATTGAGCAACTGAGTTTGCATATACAAATTTCAAATTAAATTATGTTTACCTAAATAGTATACAGTCCGTTTTAAAATAAATACTGTTCAAATGATATCATAATAGGATGTAAAGTATTAATACTTGGGAATAAATGTGTAACTTAGTGTTACTTTAGTTGCTTAAAGCATATATGATGGTCCTGTAGGACTTTGTTTTTATGTATGTCAAAAAAGATGTTAATCTTCTAATGCTCAAAAATGTTTTGTAAAAAAATAGCTGCTGCTTCTTACAGAAAAAAATGGCAAAAATGTTCTAAAGGAAAAGCTTCTGAAGTTCTTACCATGTTTTCCCTACTGAAAGGGACTAAATGTGCCTCCAAGAGACTCCCAGTGCTTGTTGGAGTTTTCTCAGCCACTGGGCTTGAGCTACTGCCTTACCTTCAGCCCTCACCTGTTTTTCTTTAAGTCCCACAGGGTACCCAACAGAATTCTGTTTCCATTAGAAATGGAAACTCTGCTGGGGCCCTGCAATGTTCTAACACATCTGGAGAGTTTGGAACCAGCACTTAAGAAAATCGTATTTTTTCTGTGATTGATCCCACTTGACTTTTTTCTAACCAATCATATAATTTTCTGTCTTCTGACTTCCAGATGGTTTTTATTTTTATAAAAGGACACTAAAGGAAAGGCACAATGCAGGTTTGGGGTGAGATAAGAAGTTATTGTAGGGTGTTAGGTCCGTATAGGAAATTAAATACTGTCATTTGTGACGTCAGGTAGTGCATTTTTTTAAGGAGCTATATGTTGTAGAAGATAAGAGGGAAGACTAAACTGCAAATGTAGTTTTTAAATACCTGATTACTTACAAATATTACCTTTTTTCTACAGAGAATGGTATCTCAATGGTGACTATTTAGTGCTGCTGGTGTCTGTCATCCTCATTCTTCCCCTGTCCCTACTGAAAAATCTAGGTAAGCAGTAGAGGGCAATCAAAATAAAAACCCATTGGAAAATACTGTGGGGAAACATGTTGATAGAATACTTGGGTCTAGAAATGCTGTGTGAATTCACAGTTGTCTCCAAACTCATCTCTTGTGACTAATTAGCATTTAGGTAATTGCTATCAGTCTCCTTGAAGAAAGGAAAAAAAAATCAAGACAAGTATACTGAATTACAGATGTGTTTGTGGAAAGTGAAAGGACAGCAGGTAGGATGGTTTTAGAACAGAGCTCAGCAATAACATTCTGTTCTTATCCCAAAGTTTGACCTATTTTGGTCAATGGTGAAAAATTACAATATTGTTACCATCTATCCTGTAACAGCCTTCAAAGAATAGGGCTGCTAAGTATCTTTTCATTGTAGATCCCGAGGCGTAACAGAATATTCATACCAGATGCTTTTTCTGAAATGGCTGTAATTCAGTTATATATGTGAATAATTCAGTTAACAGGCTGTTTATTCAGAGAATCCTGTAATGGAACTTCAGTAACCGAGAGTCTCAATGTGAATTACTCTCTCAAATTACTGTTTTCTAGAAGCTAAGTATATAAATAAAAAGAGAAGGAAAAAAGACCAAGTTATCTTGATAGTGCATGCTATTAAAATTAATCCTATATCATTCTTAGTATACAACAATCAATTCATATAGTTGTTGCTGTGGGTTTTTTTAGTTTGCTTCTTTTTCTTGTAAGTTAAAAAGTTTAACATTACAGACGCACTGTATGTACAGACCCTAATATGTCTTTCAGAACATTTAGATCTGGGTTGGGATTAGCAGAAAATCAATGAATAATTAATTTGTTCTGTGTAATGCTAAGGAAAAGACAATCTAAAGAGATCACTTGGCAGAATATGTTTTTTCATAATGTTTTGATTTGAATGGTATTTCAGTTTATTGTATATTAAATTTTTTTTATCTTTCTTGATCACAGGTTATTTGGGCTATACCAGTGGCTTTTCCTTACTTTGCATGGTCTTCTTTCTGATTGTTGTAAGTATAATCTTGAAAACTTCCAGTACTTGCAAAAGTGTGTTTCAAAGTGAACTTATGCACAGTTTCTAAAAATTTTGCGTTAGTCAAAGTAATAAACATGTGGCTTTATTTCTAGGTAATTTGGAAGATGTTTCAGATTCCTTGTCCTATGGACAGTGTCATCATGAATGTGACATTATTTAATGCAACAGTGGCACCTTTGGTAGATGAAAATATAACAATTGACGATATGTGCAAGCCAAAATACTTCATCTTCAATTCACAGGTAACTGTCCAAAAATCCGATGCTCTGTTGAAAACAGATGCTCTGTTTTCCTTCCAAAAGTCCAGTTTTAAAATTGGGATGTGTCAAGACTTTCTGTTCCAGTAGACTTGGGTACTGTTTACCTCATGCAGACTGGGTATTTTTACATGCCAAATACATAGAAATTAAAAGGAGTTTGAGGTACCTGTTTGAGTGGCAAAAAACAAATCTCCCATTCTACAGCACAGGATTTCTCAAGCTTTCTCAAGGAAGTTAGTGAAGCATTTTAAAAAGTAGATTGCAGAAGAAGATGAAGAAAATTGTAGAAGTGTGTAAATAGGATGTTTGCCTTGTTCCCAGTCACAAATTCTTGACTCATGAATGCTCCCAATTACAGTGGCAAATCTCCACACATGTGTAATGCTCATTACAGAGTTCAAGATATAATGGCTTAAGCCTGTTAGTTGCTGAACATGATTTTGAATGCAAATACACTCAGCTCAGCATGGACTTCAGTGACATTTGAGACTATTTGGTACCTCAGGGTCTGGGTTTAAGAAAATACAAACTTATTTTAACTTTTTCTGAAGTTTCCATTGTAAAGAATAGCTGGTCTTTATCACCAAATAAGGCCAAAACTGAAGAATCTCCTGATGATTTTGAAAAGTAAATTTCTAATGTCTGTTGAGATACTTAAGAAACATACTTTTTTTTTCCAGACTGTTTATGCTGTCCCAATCCTAACATTTTCTTTTGTCTGCCATCCTGCAATTCTTCCAATTTATGAAGAACTGAAAGGGTAAGTGTTAGATATGTATCTTCAATTTCACAAAACAATTAAATACAGTATTAAATACAATTAAATTAAATACAGTATGTTCTCACTGCTAACAATGTTACTTTCTCTTTCAGCCGAAGCCGTAAAAGAATGATGAATGTGTCCTACGTATCTTTCTTTGCCATGTTCCTCATGTATTTATTGGCTGCTCTCTTTGGATACTTGACATTCTACGGTGAGTATTGCCTCTCTGTTTTCTTTAAAATTATGTATGTTCTGCAGACTCACAACATTATTTTAAAAATAGAACAAGCAAGCATTTATTATGTATTCTAAATATACACTGTTAGTTGGGTTATTGTTTTTTTTTAGCACTTCTATAAGTGCACACCCCGAAGGAGATCAGTAATAGAATTAGGCCCAAGACATAGGATTAAATGGATTAAACCAGATTCCATGCCTCCAAGTCATTCCTGTGTAAAATGGATACATTCTTACAGGAGCTTTTGAGGCTTTCAATTTATATTGATGATGTAACTGTAAAATTTGTGTGCAATCTAGAGCAGAAACACATGTTTAGGAAGTATGACAACTAAATCTAGTTAAAATACTGTTTTCTTTATAGGAAAAGTTGAGCCAGAACTGCTTCACACCTACTCTGCTTACCTGGGTGCTGATGTTCTCCTTCTTATTGTGCGTCTTGCTGTACTTATGGCTGTAACCCTCACTGTACCTGTAGTTATTTTCCCAGTAAGTAATTTTTTTTTTAACACCTCTACCGCTGCAATCATTTAGCAACTTGGCAACTACTGTTTATTAGTTGAAAAACTGAAGAGTTTTTCTCTTAACTGAAAAAGGAAACTTACTATGATAAACTTGAGAAATTATAGCTATACTGTTAATTCAATAAATAGGTAACATTTACTGAGCAGTAGATACAAATATATTCAGTTATATTGTTTTCCTGGCATGGTTGTATTGGGGAAATAGATTGCCCCTCTATAAAAATACTTAAACTATTGTATTATCAGCTTAAAAAAAGCCAGCATGTTTTTGTACATACATTGTGGACACGGTCTGGCCATTTATGTGTATGTTGTTGAACAACATCCTTAGATGTTATAGAATTTCCTGGAATTTATTTTTGTTCAAGCCAGATACTTCTTGGGTTTTTTTCTGCATATTACTTTTATCTTTCACCTTCTGTTAAAATCTGAAGCATTCAGGAAAATTACGTTAAAATACTTGGAAAAGGAAGGTCTAATTCAGGTGGCAAATCACTGTCTTCCAAAATGAAGACTTGACTGTCTTTTTTTTTTTCCCCTTGCCTTCCCAAGATCCGCAGTTCCATTACCCAGCTGCTGTGGGCAGGGAAGGAGTTCAGTTGGTTGCGTCACTGCTCCATTACTGTTGCTCTTCTGGCATTTACCAACATGCTCGTTATCTTTGTCCCTACTATTCGAGACATCTTTGGATTCATTGGTAAGCATTTTCTTGTCAGATCAAGCAGTCTTTTGCAATTCAGAAAAAGCAGTTCCAGTCTAATTAGAGTATGTTTACCTAGTTATGAATATTTATTTCCATGCTTTTTCTCTGCAGGTGCTTCTGCGGCTGCCATGCTGATCTTTATACTTCCTTCTGCCTTCTACATCAAATTAGTGAAGAAGGAACCAATGAAGTCAGTGCAAAAGATTGGGGTATGTATAGACAAATATGTAACTACACTTGCTTTCTAATTCAAAGCAAAAAAAAAAAGAATTATCATTTTCATGATTTATAAATTTTGAAGTCCTGGTGAAGGTAGTCGGTGAATTGGTATTTAATGTTACCTTGCATAGTTGTAAGGAGTTGCATAAGAACTCAAAACCAAGGAACTGGCCACCACAAGACTAAGTTTGCTTCAGTGACTTCTCTTGGTCCCTGGCCCCCAATCTCATCAGTAGCTGGGTCATTCTGTTGCTGCTAAGAGCCAGATTTCAACAGAATGCCCTAAGAACTATATTTAAAAAGCCTTAACATTCTTCAAATATTCTTTTAAGACTTATTTACATAATTTTCCCCATAAGAGCTCATCTCTGCCAGTTGTTTGGGTTATCTTGATTGTTCTTGGTGCTTTTACTAATCAAACACGCACTGACTCATAATGCAATCAGACATACTGAGACAGAGTCAAGTTAGCACAGTGGCATAGCCCGACTGGTATCAGCAGGTACATTCATTTCCCTTAGTTGAGGGTGAGGTCTGCTATACTGAAAATAAATGTACTTCTTGATTTGAGAAAGGACCCCAAAATAAGAAAGATACTTAGCTCCTTGTCACTGATTTGATCTCTTGTCTCTTTTACTTTGTCCTCCATGAGCAGTAGCATTTGTGTTATGCATGGGTGTGAATTTGTAGGTGTATGTTGTGTTTTATCAGCAGTGTCATAGCAGAATCTGAAATACTTCTTTTATGTTTTCTCTTTCAGGCTTCATTCTTCTTTCTAAGTGGTATACTTGTGATGACTGGGTGTATGACACTGATTATTCTAGACTGGACCCAGAATGTTACATCTGATGGCCATTAACTGCCCTGGTTTAATCTCTATAATACTCCACTTCAAATGCCAGTGTTCACTCAGATACCTACTGAGAATGAAAATGAGCTATTCAGCTTCCTTTAAAAGGCAGATTCTTTGTTGATGGTTCTTCTGATCGTAGAATATCTGAACTCTGTCTTTAAGAAACTATTCTGCATGATGGAAGTGGATATTAACATCAAACCACGTGAGTGTCTGGCTGAAGGAAGTGACAACTTTATTCCATTCCAGAGAATGGACAGAACTCTGTAGACTTTTATCAAGCCATGTTTGGCTTTCGTCATTGTTACTTGGATATTTTGTTATTTTACTTGAATGTGCCTAATGGAACCATTTGATGTGAGAAAGAACTCTTTAATTTACAGCAAAGTGTTTAAATAACCAATGAGAGAGCGAGAGAAAGAGAGAAACGCTATTATTTTTTGTACCAAAAATTCTTATGGACCTCAAAAGCACTATTTTGACTTTAAGAAACATTTTTCTAAAAAGAATGAAAAAATAACATAGAAGAGCTCAGAAAGATATTTAATTAGTGTCCTAAATTGAACTCAGTTTGATTTTCTTGATCTCTTCACTCATGTCACTAGTGACAGGACCCAAGGAAAGGGCATGAAGGTGTTTTTACCCAGAGGGTGGCTGGGCACTGGAACAGGCTCCCTGGGGAAGTGCTCACAGCACCAGCCTGACAGAGTGCAAGAAGTGTTTGGACAATGCTCTCAGGCACCATGGTGTGACTCTTGGGGTGCCCTGTGCATGACCAGGTGTTGGATGTGATGATTGTGATGGGTCCTTTCCCACTCAACATACCTTATGATTCTGTAGAGTCATAATTAGAAGAAATTTTATTTTAAAAATTCTTCTAATGACCAAAACAGAAAATAAGCAAATTCAGATCAAAATTCTCAGATACTAAACGCTTTCCATGAAGTTTCCTTAGAGAAAATACTCCTGAAAATCATTTCAGGGTTTCGTAAGTAACTAGAGTTACCAAAAAATGGTGTGGAAACACAAATTTTCAAACTTTAAAAATCCCACCCTTTAGAAAAGGGTGCATTTGAGAAAAACATAAGTAATCTAAAATTGTAAAGATGGCATTGACATTTCCCTTCTTGAGGTACTCAGTAGTGCAATTGAGTAAAACAGGGTTTGGGATTTTTGCTTTTTGGGTTTTGTTTTTTTTTCCTGTTGTAGATAGAAACTGAATGGCACTGGAGCATACGATGCCATTAATACAAAACTCCCTCCTCAAGTTCCCTTTATTAATAAGGTCCATTGTCAGTTGTAACAATGTTTGTTGGGATTTTTTTCTATCCAATCTATCTTGAAACACTCTGTAGGAAAACAAAAAAGTCCTAATGTAGTCTTCTAGTTGTATAATATTCAAAAACTGTACAGTATTTCTCAAATTCCTCATCCGTTATTGGATTTTGAATTACTTGACTATTCTGTTTCTGAGTCAAATCCACAAAATAACTGCACCAATATGTCATGCTTGGTACTAACTCTCTTCACATACACAACTGGGATTCCTCTTCCAATTTATACTGTATAGTAGTATTAAAAATAACCTCATAGGCTGGATAGTCATCTCATACTTGTTTGCTTCTGAAATAGCTAAGTTTCTAAGGAGCCATAGCTGATGAGACAGGTGCTGTATGGTTGTGATGAGCTATTTTGTTTCTAGTGCATGTTTGCTCTTTCATTCTTGTCCCAGGTTGAAGAGAGGTAGCATTTGTATAACAGCGTACTTGGCTTACAGAGGTTCTCAAACACAGCAATATTGGGTACAAAAGCCTAGATAGAGATTATTAATGAAATAGTCATGGCAATGTGGTCGGTCAACTGTCTTCATCTGACACGACGTTTTAAAAATCTGATTTGTGAAATCCCACTCATTGTGTCAGAGAGACCAAGTAAAGGCCTGTAATCCATTGATTAAACAGTGCCTGAAACTTTTTTGCTCTTTTAGAATTAATCTGAAATTAATCTAAACAATAATCACCATTTGGCAGATGATGTCAAGCTCTGCCCAGCCATTTAAAATCTATGGAAAAACAACTGCAGGTATTTTGTATTGATACTTCTGCATGACTGTAAGTACTGGTCACTAAGACTATAGTGTAAAACTGTAATGACAAGTTATATTCCTCATGTGTTATTTGTAATATTAATTCGGTGGTACTCAACTGGCAATTAATGATCCTGGAGTCAGCACTGACTAACGCTCCGTAGGTACTTCTCTGCCTCAGGTACTGTACATCCATGGCTAACTATTCCATGTTACCTGATCTCCACAGAAGTGCTGAGCATGTGCCTCCTCAGTACTTTGGCAGCTTTTCTTCTTCCTCTGCAAATGCGCAAAGATGGAAGAGGATTAAAATGTTGTCTACCTTTGAGCAATTTGTAGCACATAAGGGATGAAGTGCTTCCCTTGCATTTAAAAAGAGGAAAGAAAGTGAGAAATCTCCTCCTTTCTCACAGCAACCCTAGAAGAGGAAGGAGTTGTGAGAAGTTACTACAGATTCCTTCTTTGTAGTTGGGAAGGGAAAGAGATTTTTGTGGTGACACCTCATAGTGTATTGTACATGTCACTAATTCTCTGAATGTAGCAATTTCCAGATTATACATTATGTGTTATATAATTTGATGACTGACTCTCCACCTGCAACAGTTGAGTTCCACTTGGCTGGGTCGATTTCCAACATGTGATTTTTTTAATTATTATTTTTTTCCAAACCTGTCTGTTGAAAGTTACCTACATTACAAACCACCTAAAAGAGCAGCTTCAGTATTAAACCACTGTTCTGTCACCTCAGTTAGACATTACTGTCTTCCATGATATTTCAGTCATAAATGTAACATGTTATTTATAAAACATTAATCCATTAAAACTAAAACTATTTTTCAATATTTATGATAGTCTATGTACATAAATTGTATGTGTGTACATACTGTAAGTATAATGTATATAATGTAGGTTTGGAGTCCAGGATTTATGTATATATTCCTCTCTCATTACTGATTGTTACATCATTTCAAGGAGTTGTCCATGTTGTACATCTGTGTAACAGCTGTCAAAGGAAAGAACCTTTTTCAACAAAGTGTAATGCTTACAGAGATGAAAGAAGTGTGTTACGCCTAAGGTGTGTAAGAAAACACTAAGATTGTATTTATTACAAATGTATATGTTGCAATAAACACAGGAATCACTTGGGTCCATAGAAAGCATTGTTCAGGTTCATGTATACTTTCTCTCTAAAATTTACCATGGATGTTACGATTTCCTGAATGCAGCAAGTTCACCACCTCTTCGATCTAACGCTCGTTAGTTCGGCCGCCAGGTTCGGGCATCCCGCGGTACATCCGTGTACATATGTAAATACCCGCCTTACTGGGAGGGGCCAACAGCCTAGCTACGGTTGCAGGCTAGACTGGTGGCCAGCAACACCGTTTCAATGAAACATTGTATGTTTGTTTTAACTGAAATAAATAAATAGATAATCCTAAGCAAGGGCGTGATGTTTTTCTTGGGGGAGGCATCTGGAGGATTTTCTTTAGAGGTGATGCTAAAAGTGTACCTTTAATTTCATGCATAATTAACATATTTAACACTTTCCAGGAAAGGGGTGAGGGAATGGCATCCAACTACATCCATGACTTAGGACACTACAAGGGTAAAAGAGAACAGGTCTGGACATGAGAGATAAAATTCTACAAGGAACCTGCATTAAGTAATTTCTTTCATGGAAAAGGCATACCTGGAGACAAGACCCAATGTGTTAGATCTTGTCTAAGTGTAATAAGTGAGTCTTGTTAAAATCCTGTGCCACTTTCCTTCATTTGAGTCTCCAGTAGAACAACTGCTTATGTAAAAAATTACAAAACTGGTATGCCTGGTTTGCTTCCGTTTTGGAAACTGGATACAAAACAAATGTATCATATAAATCTGTATCACATCATATGAATGAATATCTGTCCCACATACTCTGAATTGGTTGAGAGATCCTGGAGTTGTAACTGTGTCATGTGTACAGCAAAGCACTATACAAAAGCAATACTTAAGAAGGATAGTTAAAAGCTCTGAAATCAGGAAATCCTCAATTAAGGTTGCATTAATTACAAGATTGCAAAGTGTTTTTTTCCTGGAATCCTCTTTTAGTAGCTGCTCATTATTTTATTTTTTTAAGATGCTTTCTGTGTGTTCACAGTGTTTGTGTTTGCCCAAATCCAAATGCCATCCTGATGAGGGATGAATGCCTTCATTCCTTTCTAGTTCTCATTTAGTGTCATGTTTGTGAAACAATTACTCATTTTCAGTGTTTGCAGGCCTTTAAGAAGGTGTTAATCAGTAAACAGCTCTGGGGACCTGGAGCATGGAGAGGAAGCACTGTGGCACAGCCATGTATTTGAGTCCATTTAATGTCCTCCACTTACTTAATGGTGATCATTCTTGGAACAAGAACCCTAAGCACCAAGGTAGCCATTTGGAAAGGGTGGGTAGTGTCTCATAAGCTGTCTGCTGTCACACAGGAACTTCAGAGCAGTGTAGAAGCCCTTCCCTAGAATGCTACTTGACAAGCTGAACAATTAATCTCACCTGTACAATCAGGCAATTCCATCAACTTAAATAACTTCATAACACAGTCTTTTCTACATCTTATTTCACACAGGAATGAGAAGATTGCTCATCTTGTGAGATTAATGAGATGGTGCAATGGTTTTATAAAAATGAACTGAAACTACGTTGTAACAATGTCTAAAATCCCATGCTTTGAGCCTGTGTACCTGCCACAAAGTCTAAGCTCCAAAAGAGGGTTGTCACTTTAAGCTTATTCACAATGCTGAGCTTTGTGAATGTCTTGAGGTCTGTTCAGGAAACAGATGGCACCTTTACTTTCTTCTAGTTCCCCTGAAATTTGCTTCCTTCTTCTACCCTGGCCTTGCCAAGTCTGTCCTGCCTCAAGGTCATGCCTAGCCCTCTCACCCCAGAGGGGTGATTTCAAACAATGCTGATTTTCACACCTACATTCTTTGCTCAGTCCCAGAAAGATCCATGATCCTCAAATTCCTCTCACACATTGTGCTATGGAAGCCTGTACTCTAACAGCCACTGCGAGCTGGCTTCTAATCTTCATTTCCTCCATGAGAGCATTCATTTCACATATGCTACATTTCACATCCCTTCAGATCTTACACAGTTAATGTGAACACTGAATTGATTATGAGACCTAAGTGCAGCAGGTTTTTTTCTCCCCAAGACCAAGTCCTAAGCACTGCAGTAAGTTCCTATAAACTACCAAAGTAAATATAGGCCACGTCACCCTCCGGGTCACACTGTATTTCAAAATCAAGTTTGTAATTTAACATAAAACAAATGTTTTTGTTTTCTTGCTGCCACAAATTTCCACCCTTTGTGGTAGGTCAAATGCAGCACTTCACTACTCCCACACTTAACAGAGCCAGTTTCCATCTTGTGGTTAAATTTCTCAACACATTTAAACAATCAGTATCTTGGATCAACACACTGCTTATCTCCAAGTCCCAGGAGAGAAGTCCTATGACAGTTATTATGTCTGAGCATGGCTAACTACTAGAATATCCAGCTGTCCTCCCCTGCAAATTTTAGTTTGGCAGGGAACATCAGTCTTCATATTTGCATTTTGTAGCAGCAGCTTCACCAAAACTCAGTCTCTGAAGTATTTCCTTTCTTACTTGAATATGGGTAAGTGTAGGAAAGAATCAGACACAATCTTTGTCATCCAGAATCATTATAGAAACATTAAATCCTTCTGACAAAGGCATCAATAACCACTTAGAGTAACTACTTTTATTGCCTTCTTATTTTTATAAATACTGAGTAAATTAACTACATGGAATCTAAATTACTTTTACAGTTTATTCTTTTTCTGTCTGTTCTGCTGTTATCTGAGTCAAGCTGCCCATGTGATTCAGACTTTTCCCTGCTGAAGTTACTGGAATGTTGCTTTCCTTGTCTGTGCACAATGAGTTATTATACATAGTTCAATAACACAGAGATAAACTACAGAACTTCCTCTAAAAAGGAGTTTCTCTAAACTACAGAAGTTCCTCTGCAGAATCTTTTCCTGCTCTCATTTCTCTCACTCTTCTGCTGAATAATGTATTGTAGCTTTCCCTTCCCTCTCCAATACAGACACCTAAGGCCACTAATTCACTTTTCTAATTTTTCCAAGGTTTTACAAACTCTTGGCACTTATTTTCTTCTCACAAATAAATGTATTTACTTTTCATTTGCTTTGTGTCTTCCCATCTTTTCATAGACTATAAAGATGAACAGATTTCCAAGTGGAAGAACATAGGTCCTTTCCACCCAAACTGACAGCCATGTTTTATAAAAGTATAAAAGAGGAGCAATATTTGAAAGACTCAGTGGTAAAGAAACAGTGAGAAATATTGCAATATCATGGTAATGACTATGAAAGCCAACTGATGCATTAATGTTACTAAACTATGGATTGCCTTTGGCACTGGACAGCATAACTGAAAATGGAACTGGACGAAGCTTTCTCTGCATCCTGCTGCTGCAGCTTGGCCATGCCTACCTGCTGCCCTGCACACTCATCTGGCTTGCCAGTCATCACAGCTTGTGCTTTTTTTCATTAGCCAGTGTTGTTTTTAGCCATGAGTCCAATTTCCCTGCAGCCTTCCAGGGAGCTGGAAGATGTGGAAAGCTGGCAGATGTAGGGGCAAAGAGGTGGTCAGGCCACTGAGCTGCCTGCTGCCCAAAAGAGAAAGGTGTCCAAGACAAAAATTCAAATGTGTGCTAGCAGAAGGGCTGCTTGATCATGGTGGTTGGAGGGCGGGAATGAGAGCTGCTAGCAGCCAGTTATCCTACCCAAGGAAAGGAGCCACCACTGGTGGCCAAGTACCCATCACAGTGGGGTCTGATGGTCCCTCAGGTCTTCTCACCCTCCCCAGCATGTTCACAATCAGGTTAGTGTCACTGAGGGCTCCCACAAGCAGGAGTGAAAATATAGACAACTGCATATTTGGAGTTGGCAGTGAGAGTCACTGAAGCACAAATCACAGGGGAGGAAAGCAGCCAGTAGAAACACAGCAGAGAAAAGTGGCCTGTAGAGGAACAGAAAGGGACAATGATTTCATAACTGTGGGGAGAAAGTAGACTCGCTAGCAAATAGAAAGGGAGATGAGAAGAACGCCTGTGCAAAACATCAGAAATCCCAAAGTGATTTCGTGGTTATTTGTTTGTGTCCTTGCTTTCCCTGAACAGAAAGGGGAAATGGACTTTGTGGAAATAATCCTGGGTAAGGTAGATATAAAAGAAAGTGTGAAAAACTAAACATTAGCCACACCAGCCTGTAAAGCAGCTCAATTAATAAGTATTCATAATCATTTGGAATTATTTTGAAATCATGTGAAAAAAATAGTGGAGAAAACTGTATGTGTTGACAGTCTCCAAGGGCAACCAGAGTCATTACTTAACTGTTGTTACTTAGTGCCCACACGGCTATCTTCTATCCCACAGGCACATTAACATAAGCAATAAAGTAAATCACTGTAAGCCAGAACCTTTCCTGCTGACTGTGAGCAATTACCAGTATTTATAAGCTCAGTGAAATGAAGGAGGTAGCTTATTGGAGTAGCATGGAGGTCCATCACCATTTAAAATCACACCACCATTTAAAAATGGATTCTTAGAGTGGATAACTCACAGATAAGCCACAAAGAGATGACTAATTTTTTTCAGATTTTACTAATTTCTAACTTTTAGACAAAGACACATAAACCTTTTCCTCTCCTGGTTTTCAAGGTGCCAATGAGGAAACCAGTCCTGGAAAACAAAGAAACACTGGTTCCTGGCACAGCCAGGTCTCCCAGGGCAGCCAGGATGTGCTGGGCAGCAAGGGCTGGTACTGCCCCACAGCAGCCTTATGGCAGAGCGTTCCTCCTTCTCCTAAGCAGCTACAGAGAAATTGCACAGGCGTGTGTGTGCCTCTCTCCAGAAAAGGGCTCTCTTGCTTTGTAAAAAGCTTTTATACTGATGGGTTTTGGTGCTACAAGCATAAAATGTATTTTCCCTAGGGAAATAGTGAGCCTGATCCATGTATTTGAGGAACCCTAGGATTGTCACCCTGTACCAAAACATACCAGTGATGCTGCAGGCTTTTCTACTCACAGTCAATTACAATATCTTGAATCACAAGGATCTCATAAAAATTGCAAAGTCACAAACAAGGTTCTGGCCTTGAGTTAGAAACTTCACTTCCTGAAATTTATTTGTTTTTAAATGGTAGGAATGATGCAATTTTCCAGGAACCAAATAGGAAGGAAATGAGAGTACGTAATTTTTTCTGGTCACAAGATTGACGGTGATACTCACATTTGAAGGGAGGAATTTGCCTTGACTCATAGGAAATTATCTTTGCTCTTGGGGATTTACAAACAGCCTTTGTGGAACAAAATAGAGGGCCTGAACTATGCCTGTGTTTTGAGGAAGGATAACTTTG